CTATCCTGGAGAATGTTCCATGAGCACTTGAGAAGAAAGTGTATTCTGTTGTTTTTACATGGAATGTCCTATAAATATCAATTAAGTCCATCTTGTTTAATGGATCATTTAAAGCTTGTGTTTCCATATTTATTTTCATTTTGGATGATCTGTCCATTGGTGAAAGTGGGGTGTTAAAGTCCCCTACTATGATTGTGTTACTGTTGATTTCCCCTTTTATGGCTGTTAGCATTTGCCTTATGTATTGAGGTGCTCCTATGTCGGGTGCAAATATATTTACAATTGTTATATCTTCTTCCTGGATTGATCCCTTGATCATTATGTAGTGTCCTGCTTTGTCTCTTGTAATAGTCTTTATTTTAAAGTCTATTTTGTCTGATATGAGTATTGCTACTCCAGCTTTCTTTTGATTTTCCATTTGCATGAAATATCTTTTTCCATCCCCTCACTTTCAGGATGTATGTGTCCCTAGTCTGAAGTGGGCCTCTTGTAGACAGCATATATATGGGTCTTGTTTTTGTATCCATTCAGCTGACCTCTGTCTTTTGGTGGGAGCATTTTATCCATTTACATTTAAGGTAATTATTGATATGTATGTTCCTATTACCTATTTCTTAATTGTTTTGGGTTTGTTATTGTAGGTCTTTTTTCTCTCTTGTGTTTCCTGCCTAGAGAAGTTCTTTCAGCAATTGTTTTAAAGCTGGTTTGGTGGTGCTGAATTCTCTTAGCTTTTGCTTGTCTGTAAAGCTTTTAATTTATCCATCAAACCTGAATGAGATCCTTGATGAGTAGAGTAATCTTGGTTGTATATTTTTCCCTTTCATTATTTTAAATATGTCCTGGCACTCCCTCTGGCTTGCAGAGTTTCTGCTGTTAGGTCTGCTGTTAACCTTATGGGGATTCCCCTGTATGTTATTTGGTTTTTTCCCTTGCTGCTTTTAATATTTTTTCTTTGTATTTAATTTTTGGTAGTTTGGTTAATATGTGTCTTGGTGTGTTTCCCCTTGCATTTATCCTGTATGGGACTCTCTGTGCCTTCCTGACTTGATTGACTATCTCCTTTCCCATGTTAGGTAAATTTTCAACTATAATCTCTTCAAATATTTTCTCAGACTCTTTTTCTATTTTTCTTCTGGAAACCCTATAATTCGAATGTTGGTGCATTTAATGTTGTCCCAGTAGTCTCTAAGACTGTCCTCAATTCTTTTCATTCTTTTCTCTTTATTCTGCTCTGCAATAGTTATTTCCATTTTTTTTATCTTCCAGGTCACTTATCCGTTCTTCTGCCTCAGTTATTCTGCTATTGATTACTTCTAGAGAATTTTAAATTTCATTTATTGTGTTGTTCATCATTTTTTGTTTTCTCTTAGTTTTATAAGTCCTTGTTAAATGTTTCTTTTGTTTTCTCCATTCTATTTACAAGATTTTGGATCAACTTTACTATCATTACTCTGAATTCTTTTTCAGGAATACTGCCTATTTCCTCTTTTTTTTTTTTTTTCTGGTGTGTTTTTATGTTGCTCCTTCATCTGCTGTGTGTTTCTGTTTTCTCATTTTGATTAACTTACTGTGTTTGGTGTCTCCTTTCTGCAGGCTGCACATTCGTAGTTCCCATTGTTTTGGGTCTTTACCTCCAGTGGCTATGGTTTGTTCAGTGGGTTGTGTAGGCTTCCTGGTGGAGGGTACTAGTGCCTGTGTTCTGGTGGATGCAGCTGGATCTTGTCTATCTGGTGGCTTTTTTGGGAGTGTCTGTGACCTTATTATGATTTTAGGCATCCTCTCTACTAATGGGTGGAGTTGTGTTTCTGTCTTGCTAGTGGTTTGGCATAGGTTGTCCAGCACTGTAGCTAACTTCTTGCTGAGTGGAGCTGGGTTTTAGGGTTGAGATGGAGATTTCTATTAGAGCTTTTGCTGGTTGATATTACATGGAGCTGGGAGGTCTCAGTGGAACAGTGTCCTGAACTCAGCTCTCCCACCTCAGAGGCACAGAGCTGACACCCCGCTGGAGCACCAAGACCCTGCCAGCCACACAGCTCCAAGTCTGATGACTTGGAGCCAGAAATACTGGCTCATGTGCAGAATCATCCCACAGATCACAATAATGACACCTTCAGCTTGATCATGGTGATGTTTTCATGAGTGTTTGCATATGTCCAAACTCATCCAATTGTATACAGGTGGACATTGAAACTATTGCTGGTACAGTTCCCAGCCACTTTTTTTTTCTTTTGTTTTGCACTTAGTCTAGTTTCACTGGCTCATAGGGTACAGCGTGCAGAGACCTCAAACCCAGAACCTTCAGACCAGAGTTTCTAAGCGGTTGCACAGCATCCCAACTCAAGATGGAGGTGGAGACAGCAGGCTGTGTGTAGAGCATCACTGTCATTTTAAGATCTATTGCTAAATATGTCAGAGGTTTCAGTTATTTATTTAATCCAAGCCATTGAATTTTTAAACATTACTGATTATTTTCTTTGTTTAACAAGAGTACCCAGATTTACGTAGTGATGTGCTGGTAAGTCTTTGACAAACAACTCTTGGAGTTGAGGATATGGCATGGGGTGTTGGAAAAGCACTGATTTGTTGCACTTGCCAATTTCCATGGTATAAATATGTTTTCATTAAACACAGAGCTCGAAAAGAAATGTACACTATTGACATTCTGAAAAGATGTAAACAGAGCTGGTCTGAAATGTCTTTTAAAAAATCATATACAGTTTATTTTCTAAAACAGATATATTCAGGAGAATTGCGTACAAGCCCTTCAAATTTTGAACTCCATAGTACATTGCAAACGATTAGTCTTACTAAAGTTTTTTATATCTAACTTTGTAAGGAAATATCTACTCCATTATATATATTTTATGTATGTTTATCTTGTGAATTATTGAACTTTTGCAGGAAAGCTTATCTGATATTTAATTGTTATAGATTCTTATACTCTTAAAATTCAATAAAATATTTCCAAATTGGATAAAAATATATTTATGAATCATAAAAATTTGCAAGGAAATATATGTCACAAACAAATAATTGGCCAAATGTCTTAGCAAATCTTTTAATATTGATCTAGTAATTTTGCCTCTGTAATTCTAAATAAGGTGGAATAAATGTATATCTAAACTAATTAATGTAGTGCCAACCTATACGTGTGCATATGTGTGTGCATGTGTGTGTGTGTTTGTGAGACTAGGAGATAAAAGGAATAAATACCAATCAACATTCCACTGTTTATCTTTGCTTAGGATACATATTTTTATTTTTCCTGTATTCTTAAACCCTCTCTCCAATCTCTGATAATGAGCAGGGACACATTATATCTGAATCTATAAATAAGAGCTCTGGCATAGTAGGGCTAGGTCTTATTTTAGTTAGGCAAATATTGAATTATAATGGTTACTACCAAGTGGTCAGTGGAAGAGCTAAGTTGTGGTCACTTTTCATTTTATTTGAGTTTCTAATTTACCATTTTCAGCCAGTATTGTAGCCTGAATCTATACTTACCCTCAGCCCTCCTTCTCATGGGAGAAAAAGGGAAACAGGAGACACTACTAGAGTGCCTGGATGAGGTAGGCCCCCAATAAATATTGATTGACTGGGAGCAGGAAAAGTTTGAGATCTCAGACTATCATTAGTGTTTAATTAAAGTTGTCCATATGATTAGAATGCTTACAACTCCATCCTGTTTCTACTTTTTGGAATTAAACATACCCTTCAAGCTTACTTTTGTGTGAAGCCTTCCCTGATTGCTCCAAAGAGACTTCTTCCTCTTTTAAATTTCCATTCTCTTTCATTTTTAATCATGTGTTATTTACCAATATTATCCTTGGCACTCAAGAATAAACTCCTAGAAAAAAGGGATAGGATCTTGCACATTTGTATGGTTCACTTCATTTCAAAAAATTTCTTGAACATACTCGTGATCTATAGTTATTATTTCAATTAATAAATATGAATATACATCTAAAGATGAAACTTGGAAACAAATTCTATACCTGAATACTACTCTTAACATACATTAAAAATTACTTAGTATCATTTCTTAGTTTTTAAAAATACCCATTTTCCCTCATACTTCCCTTCAATGCTAATTGAAAAACAACCGTATTCCAATTTTTCTGTAGCCACTATAGAGGAAAACCATGGACATTTTAAATAGCAAAACTATTCCAATTAAAAATGTATATTTTCAGAGAATTTCATAATAATGAATGAATTGGAGTTTATTTGAATTCCCCCTACTAATGGTGGGGGAATCTTGGCCTACATGGTTTGCTCTCAGAACCTTATCACTCCTTAGAGGGACCTCAGATGTGGTGGCCTGTCACTGTTTAGAAATATGTCATTTCACACAAGAAAACTGTGGCCCTGAGGACATTAGTGAGAAAGAGGTCATGAACTCCTAATTAAAAAAAATATTCCCACCAGGTGCATTCAGAGTCAGATTTACTATGAACCAAATGAAGCTTAATTTTCAGGCCCCTCACACAGAACGCTTCTAAGTCTGAGGGACAAGCTCCAAGATAGAATCTTTTCCTTAGTGTGACACGAAAATTGTATAAACTTCAGACACCACAAAATAGGGCTGTACCTCTGGGCATACGCATGAAAGAAAATGTGGGATATTGTGCAAAGAGAACTTTGAGGATGTCTAGCGGCCTCGATTCTGGGCTGTGTTTGACACTAACTTGCCAGGTCTCCTTTCAGAATCATCTAAACTTGCTGAGCTTCAGTTTGTTTATCTGTGAAATGACACTGGTAATTAAGTTAGCCCATCTTCCTATCTGAGTTATGTAATAATTACCTGAGACAACATTTGAATATTCAAAAACCAAAGAGTTCAAAAATAATTAGTAATTAACTGAAAAATGTAAAAATTAAAAGTGTTTGGAATTGACCTTGTTAAACACGAGGACACCGTTAATCTTCCCAATGTTCAACAATATCAACAGTAAAAATCTCTAAGAATTCTCCCTAACTTAACTCTGTTCCTCCTACAGAAGAAGCAACACAGCCCTGCCTGAATCAGAAGTGTTCTTTAATCCTAGATTGCAGTGGATTGACCTTTTCTGACTATTCTGGAGTCTCCATGCTTGTTGAGGTATTTGCACAGCTTGTGTTTGGACTAATTCTTTCCCTTCCCTTTAGTAACAGGGTTTCACCAGCCTCTCTCTCAGCTCTGGGGTTTTGATCCTGCTTGTTTCAATACTCATCTCACCCATTCTCCCCAAAGGGCATAGACTTTATTACTCCCACTACTGTAGATTTCTTTTCAGGAGATGCCATGAAGTTTCTAGCTGTGTGTGAATCTGGAGAGCGTGGGAGGAGTAGAGCTGGGTATTCATGTGGGGTATTAGAACAGAACATAGACTTGGGATGTAATGGGTATAGCAGATGCTGGGAAGTCAACTCCTAGGTTTCTAGAAAGAAGGAGAAAAGTCCCCTCCATGAGCAAGTGGCCTGATGATGGCAGGATGTTGTCTCTCACATCACGGATGGGTACAGTCTGACCTGAAACCATTCCTGGTCTCTGAAATAATACTCAGTGCAGGGGTTTTTCTCCATTCTCTCAGACAATGGTGTCCTCTACCCCATGATATCCATGGGGTCTCCATGATCCCGGTTGCAAAAAGTAAAAGTTTTATTTCTTTAAAACTGAAGCCTCCATTTAGTTATATGGAACACCTAATTTTGCCAATTCAAGGAAAACTCAGACACTTCTGGAATTGTTTCCTCCTTTTTTTTTGAGTAAACACTAAGTCAACAAGGAATGTACTCCCTTTCTTATTTCCATTTATTCTCTCCTCAATACCCTAAATATGAGGGAGGATCTTGAGGATCAAGCAATGTCTATTTCTCAGCTGTCCTCAGTCCTCCGTTAGCTTCTGCTGTGTGGAACTTGGTTCACCTCGCCTTTGGCTGTTTGTTCCCCAGCGGTCTCTTACCCTGGCTTCATACAGTCTCCTGCTGTGTGAGGCTTTGTATTCAGCCAAAAACTTAATCATAACCTATGGCAATTTCTGGAGCTCCTTCCCTGCATATTTCCCTTCTTTCCATTACTCTCTCCCATAAATTTCACCCACTCAATCCTTCCTAAATGCCAGTTCTGTCTTCTCAGCTCAGTAAAGTGGCTGCATTTTGCTTGGGTCCCCCCACCATCATGTCGTGGTCCACAAACTGCTTTGCAGCAGAAAGCTGAGATGATCTGAGAGCTCACCTCATTTGTTTTTTTTTTCTTTTAGAGAACTCAGTCCTTTTCTGCCTGTTCCCATTGCCGGAAAACAATTTATATATTTTCTCCATTTGTCTACTTATTTACGGAGGATAGGATAGGCTTTATATTAATTACTCTTCATGGCCAGAAGTCAAAATTGGACATTGACTTTTAAAGAGTTAAAACCAGTAGTCCTAGAAGGTCTCACATTGTAGATTTTGATTGCTTTCTCATGGTGTTGCATAACTATCTCTATTCATTCATACTTTAAATTTAAAATGTCCAAACTTTCAAACTCAAGATAGCACAAAGGTCAGCTTCAGTCTGGCTTTCCTGTGAAGATGGGGTGGGACTATGTGAAGAGAAGCAGCTTACTATGTGACAGAGCGTAGTCTCAGATCTATCACACCCGCTGGGAGGTGTTAGGAAAATTGTCTAACCTGTCTGGATCTCAGTTTATTCATTTTGTAAAAATGGGGGGGGCGATTTTGTTTCAGATTTAGTATATATTAAAAAAAAGAAATAAATTATGCAAAAGAATTGAATTTTAAATATCCTAGGCATAGGGCTCAACCTCAATACTTTTCTTACATCTAAATCCTGACTGTAAACAGAGAGTCTCTCATCATTGGAGTGCTTCTAGTGTTCAGCACTTTTATTTACTGTGTTGCCAAGGTCTAGAAGAGCACTGTTAAACCTATGTGTATAAGGATCACCTGGGGAGCTTATTTAAGATGCAGTCTTTTGATGGAGTGATCATTTTGAAATGTACAGAAATTTTGAAACATTATGTTACGTAACAGGAGCTAACACAATGTTGTTGGTCAATTATACTCCCAAAGCAAACAAACAAACAAACTCATAGAAAAAGAGATCAGATTTGTGGTTACCAGAAGCAAGGGGTGAGGGGAGGGGGAATTGGATGAAAGCAGTTAAAAGGTACAAACTTCTGGTTATAAGATAAAAAGTACTAGGGATGTAGGTACAACATGATAAATAGAATGAGCACTGCTGTATATTATATATGAAAGTTGTTGAGAGAGTATATCTTTTTTCTATTTCTTTAATTTTGTATCTATATTAGATGATGGATGTTCACCGAACTTATTGTGGTCATCATTTCATGATGTATGTATGTCAAATCCTTATGCTGTATACCTTAAACTTATACAGTGATGTATGTCAATTATAACTCAATAAAACCAGAAGGAAAAAGATGCAGTTTTCTGAGTCCTGGTTCTGGCCCAGGAATATTCATTTTAAACAATGTAGTTTGTCCAAGGATTATGTTTTGAGCAACACTAGACTAGGATTGTCCTTTTACTGGGAAAAGTCAGTATGTATATTTTTTGTTTAATTGTATTTAAAATTTGTTTTTGAATATACTCCAGTATTTATTAGCTGTCCTCTCTAGATATTGCAAATCAGGACTTAGAGTTAGTAAAGAGGAGGAAATGGTTACTTATTGTCAGTGAGTTTAAGATCTAAGGTTGAAAATTCAGAGGAATTCAAATAATCTAGGTTTTGGGCATGGTGAGAAAGAAACTTTTAAGAATTCATCTTAATGGTTTTAAAATACTACACAGCATAATGAAGGAATAAGTCAACTGATGAATTTTATTTTTAAATGGGCAGAAAGACATTTGCCCTTCTGTTATATACAAAACCAGCAGTTTTATATCAATTTGTTTTGTGTGTGTGTGTGTGTGTGTGTGTGTGTGTGTGTGTGTGTGTGTGTGTGTTACGCGGGCCTTTCACTGCTGTGGCCTCTCCCGTTGCGGAGCACAGGCTCCGGACGCGCAGGCTCAGCGGCCATGGGTCAAGGGCCCAGCCGCTCCGCGGCACATGGGATCCTCCCGGACCGGGGCACTAACCCCAGGCTCCGGACGCGCAGGCTCAGCGGCCATGGCTCACGGGCCCAGCCGCTCCGCGGCATGTGGGATCTTTCCGGACCGGGGCACGAACCCGTGTCACCTGCATCGGCAGGCGGGCTCTCAATCACTGCGCCACCAGGGAACCCCTTCAATTTGCTATTTTTAGTTTCCTTATTACTATTTAGTTTATTTCATCATGGTTACAGTAAATTATGATGTATGTTACAACCATAAACTTTAAATATAGACAAATTCTAGGTCCAAATATTAGCTACATAACTAGTTCTAGGATCTGCGTTTAAGTATTTGTTTGTTTTTCTGTAAACTGGAAGTAGAAATACTTCAAGTTGTTGTGAAGCTTAGAAATGACATATTGTATATAAAGCATATAAAAAGGTTTCTAGAAGTTAGTAAGTACTCAATAATGCTAGCTTCTATTTGTTCTCATTTTGCAAAAGTCATTTCTTAAAATAATATCACTGCAACTAATACTATTTCTTAGTTCCTGCCACCCTGAAATAGGGTCCAGACTAAAGAGCCACAGAGTCTCTTCAGCCATGCATGTCTTCCTACTTCCCAAAAACACTCCCTGGATTATTTTCTCAGTCACTTTGGTATAAGGAAGATTCTCCTAAGAGGTATAGGTTGAAGAAAATGGAGTGAGTGCTATTTGTTCTTCTACTTAGGACACTTCTACTTAGTGAACTAGAGAATGTGTTTATCAGCATCAATAAACAACCCATAGCAATGTGTTTGTGCTTCCCTGAGCTTAAGAAAAAGTAAAACACTGACAGATCACTTTGAATTGTCATTTTAACTTACGAAAACAGGAACCATTTATTCAATGGCAAGTCTCAGACCATGTATTATTTATTTGTTTATTTGCTTGTTTATTTATGCCCAGAGTGATGTCTCCTATTATTCCACAATTCTTCTACCATAGAGATAACTGCTTATTGCTGGAAGAATATAAGGGAAATTTTTGGGTGTATCATGCATACCCTTAAAAAGTTTTGTAAACGCAGCATTCTACATTTTGTATGTATGACACTTTACTATTACATAACCAAATCCATCCTATTTTTACTAAAACTTCTGGATTTACTGAGTTTTGTTGGCTGACTTTGGTCTGGGTGAATTTAAGATCATGGCCTTCAGTAAGGTTGTTACTACTTGACATTTTCTAGGACTTAAAGAAGGCACGACCCTGCAGTATGCCAAGAAAATTAGTCAGGATCTCTCATCTTGGTGGACCATAAAAATGGAAGTTGGGCAATCAAACTTGGTTTTGATTATAGTGAGGTTCTCAATTTACTGTCCATGGATGGGGTTTAGAGAATCCATGAATATGTGCAAATTGTTGTAGAATATTAAAGTAAGCAGTAGGTAAGCAGTTTCATCATATTCACAGATGGGTCCTTGACTTCCAATAAAAGATGGTTGAAAACAATTTTATATCATTCTTATAGGGAAGGAAAGGTGATGTTTTTATTTTTATTAAATAAAATGGAAAATGTAAGCAGCAAAACTTAGTTACATAAAAGGTAAATGCCAGGACATGGAAGCAACCTAAATGTCCATCGACAGACGAATGGATAAAGAAGATGTGACACATATACACAATGGAATATTACTCAGCCATAAAAAGAAATGAAATTGAGTTATTTGTAGTGAGGTGGCTGGACCTAGAGTCTGGCATACAAAGTGAAGTAAGTCAGAAATAGAAAAACAAATACTGTATGCTAATGCATATATATGGAATCTAAAAGAAAAAAAGAAAAATGGCACTGATGAATGTAGTGGCAGGGCAGGAATAAAGACATAAACATAGAGAATTGACTTGAGGACACAGAGGGGGAGGGGGAAGCTGGGGCAAAGTGAGAGTAGCATCGACATATATATACTACCAAATGTAAAATAGATAGCCAGTGGGAAGCAGCAGCATAGCACAAGGAGATCAGCTCGGTGCTTTGTGACCACCTAGAGGGGTGAGATAGAGAGGGTCGGAGGGACATGCAAGAGGGAGGGGATATGGGGATATATGTATACATATAGCTGATTCACTTTGTTATACAATAGAAACTAACAGTATTGTGAAGCAATTATACTCCAATAAAGATCTATTTAAAAAAAAAGACAGAAAGAAAGAAAAAAAAAAGGTAAATGCCTTGCTGGTGTTTATCTTCCTTTGCTAAGACTGGCTCTTTTAGAAGTGGGTCAGAATATGCCTGAATGTGTTACAATGCCACCCCCTGGTGGTGTGGTATCATAAACATTGGCATTTTGTTTTTACTAGAAATTCTGCCTTCTGAAGCTCATCTTATTCCTTCCTGCCAGTTATCCTGAATTAATTGTGGGTGTACTATTTTAATTCTTCCAGGTTTACATGGACTGCAAGAACAAGAGTGTGGATGTATCATTAGTCCACTGCACAGGTAAGGGAGTATCCTTGGCTAACATTGGACATGATCCTTCTGCTGCTCCATGTAACCTTATATCACTTGTGTTTTCTTATAGCTTCTTTGATAAAAGCAATGAAATACTGGGGAAACCTAGATTCAGAGAAACCAATTTTTTTTGAATCAGTATCTGCTGCAATAAGTAACATCCACTTAAATAAGGTGAGTTGAGCAAGTTTGAGTGCCAGAATTATAAGAAAATTGGAATGTAGAATACATGGGCTTTGCATTTTTTATATTAGCCTATTATCCCACTGACATCTAAAAACCTATTAAAATGTGCCCCTCCTCAGAGTCCTCTGCTACAAGTAAAGGAGTTTTTTCATTCCTTTTTTGGACAAGTTATGAATTGTTTAATAATTTGGATCTTCCAACAATATCACTGCTTAGAGGATTTGGTGATCACCTATTAAGTGCAAACTGCTTGCTTATAAAAATAAATGCATCTTCCAGGATCCACTATCCTGGGAATTGGAATCCATCTCTGTCAAATGCAAAAACTCTAAATATAGCCTTATAGCTTTTTGCTGCTCTCATACCCTTTACTCTAAGCTCATACTGCCACCTTTGGAAATACTATTTGCAGAGCCCAACACTCACATGGTTTGAAGTGTCAAAGTTATCTTCCAATACTGGGCTGTATGGTTAGTTTTAGAACTGTTCCTAGAACTTTGATTTCCCATAATTTTTCTTTGATTTTGAATTGTTTGGCCTTTCCTTATCCCTAGAACAGCATCTGTTATCTCTCTGAGTCATCCCTATTATGTGCAATTAGAAGAGTATGTATTTACATAATAATAATAATAATAACATTATTGTTATTATTATCATTTCTACTACTACTATTACTGCTGCTGCTGCTGCTACTACTACTGTTATATACCTAACATTCACTGTGTGCTCATTATGTTCCAGGAATGTGCTAAGAGCTTTACCTATGTTACTTCACTAAATTTGCCACAACCTCATGAAGTAGATACTATTATTGAACCTATTTTTAGAAATAAGGAAACTGAGGTCCAGGGAAGTTATACCATTTGTAAGTAGTAGAGCCAGTTTCAAAGTCAGCAGTCTGACCTAGGACCTGGAGATTTAAACTTCTATACTCTGATGCCTCAGAGAATATCCATTTTCTTAGCTTGGCTGGACAGCTTGCTTCAGTTACTACTGTTCTTTGACTATGATATCAACTTAAGGGTTAAGTAAGTAGCAATTGCTAATTTCTTCCCCTTCTATTTCAGAATTTGAGCAAACTCAGTGACCACAGTGAAATCTGAGACTCTTTTGCTGCAGTACAGCTCTTTTCTTTAGCAACTGCCCCGAAGAGGCCATACTCAAGTATTTTCACAACATTTTTCTGTTGTGTAGATCCTACAAATGACCTCTACTAAAATAAGTGTGATGTGACTTACTAACCACATGACCGCTGCTCAACGTTTGCCAACAATTTTATCTAATCTTTGTTAGTAAGCAAATTCACTTTGTAGGTTATTGTATAGTTATTTTATAAAAATCAGTATGCATTTAGTTTTAGTGTACTGAAAGGTAAACATGAATTTATTTCCTTTTTTCATACCAAAGTATTTTGTGTTAATTCAGTTTGTTGTAGTTCATTTGTAAAAGTGAGAAATACTTTGTCATATGATAAGAGATTTAGAACATTTGCAAGCCATTTGTAAAAATGCAGGATTATCTGTAACTAATACATAAAAACAACTTAGCAAGTGTGCCATTTTCCCTAACCAAAGAAGCCATTAAATATCAATAAGCTTAAATGTTACTTCATGCAATATGATTATGAAATTCACAGAAAGTAAGTCAAACAAAAACAAATGACAAACTAGAAACCATTCTCCATACCTTTCCATGCATGGATGTCTTCAGGAATGTTTTTAACATAAGTAGTATCCCAGTGAAACCATGTTCTTGACATTCGTCTGTTTTGCTGTAAATATTGGAAATGCTTAGGATCTTCAGAACTTATAGCCCTAATTTCCACATTCCCACCCCATAAAAGTTTCCATTTTCAGCTTTAGTTTTTTTGGAACCAGAGAATGTGGAAGTTGAACACTTTATGTTTTTTTCACAAATATGATTTTTAGAAGAGAAAATATCACCAGTAGAATAGCTTTGTACTTTTCCAATATAGGATTAACTGTAGTAGTTTGGGATTTTCCTATTTCAGAGAGATATTCAATATAATATAATACATTTACCTATCTATATCCCTATAGATAGATAGATGTCCTTAGAATGCTTTTTCTTTTCTTTTGTTAGAAGGGAGCTTAGGTAAGTGATTATCTTTTAACCCACTAAACCAACAGGGTATTGACAAATAAATACCACAGGCCAGGCTGACTTGTATAAGTTATTATTTTCATGTTTCTACATATATTTTCAATCACATACAATTATATAGTTTCATATTTTTATCTAACAATTTGATTTACCTATGAAGAAATCACTTTCAAAGATAGATGTAGATGCACGCTTTAGTCTTAAGACATTTTAACTGTTCTAGAAATTACCAGTTAACAAAAAGCCAAGTACCTTAAAGTGAGTTTGAGAAGTAGTTTGAAAACAAAATTAAAAGACTGATAATTTAGGTGTTTTTGAGAACATCTGTAAGAGTAAATTCTAATATCTGCTGTGTGATGTAATGGTTCCTAGCAAATGTGTAGTAAACATTCACATGGCCCTTATTTTTACGATTGAGTCCAAGGCAGACAATGTAATAAAATGAAAGGGAATAATAAACATTTCAAATTCTCGTAACTTATTTAGCCATGTCAATTCTGATTGACATGAACTACAAACGGTAGTTTTTGTCCCACAGGAAGCTTCAATCCTTTCATCACTAATTTGGATTGAAATGAGTGAAGCCAACTTTTCTTCCCATTAAATACTGTTCCAAGAAAATGTGGAAGTAATAATTAGAAGTAAAATTTCCTTAAAGAAAGGAATTTCACTCTCCTTTTCTGATTAAATTATTCCAATGGTGGATGGTGGCAACATTCACCATCGCTAATCCATTGGTCATTGGCACATAAACATGAGTCAAGGGAAGTTAAGAAAGAAATATATTTTGCTATGTATAAATTGATGTATTTCTGTGCAAATTTAGTCTATTATTATTATTATTTTTTTTTTTTTTGCGTTACGCGGGCCTCTCACTGCTGTGGCCTCTCCCGTCGCGGAGCACAGGCCTCGGACGCGCAGGCTCAGCGGCCGTGGCTCACTGGCCCAGCCGCTCCGCGGCATGTGGGATCCTCCCGGACCGGGGCACGAACCTGTCTCCCCTGCACTGGCAGGCGGATTCGCAACCACTGCGCCACCAGGAAAGCCCTAGTCTATTATTAAATGCATGCACTGTAGGCATTTTCTAATTTGTTAGAGATTATGGACTGTAGATGGCGTTAAAATCATTACAGGTAATCAATGGATGGTTTCTTCTATTTTATTAACAAAGCTGACACCTAGTTATATGAGAAGATGTATTTGAATGTGTTTCAGTGTTTATAGTAGACATCTAATGGATAAAACTTAAAAGCTAATAACTTTGGTGTCAAATGTTATTATGTTCAAAGTAAAGGAAGACCAAAACATGTACCATAAATAACCCTTTGTTCTAAGGCTTATCCTGCATACTAAGATCCCAGTGACTAGACCTGTAGGAATCCCTGAAATTGAGTTTTGAAAGCTCAATAACTGAATATGAGTTTCAGACACACAAGATTCTAAAACATAAACGTTTATTTCAAAGCAGACATTAATAACAGAAGAACTATAATATGGCACTGATGCTAGACTGTTTCTAGTCATGATTAATTAGTTTTATGAGATTACCTTATTTTTGTATATGATAAATTACTTTCATATTACTTATTATGGTAAAATAAAATTGGGAAAAATTAAAACTTACCTATAAGACCAGTTACGGACCTAATAGAGTGACATATATAAATTAACCATAAAGTGTGTAACCAGGAAAAAGACTGTTAACATTATATTTATGCAAATTAAATGCCCTTAAATTTTACCATTTGTCTTTCATTTTAAAGGTTATTTTCCCCTGATTATATGATTCAAGTGTTATAAAGTCTAACTTGAATTACTTTGCAGTAATTTATGTGACAGATCTCTACTGTATAAATGTGTAATGTAATGAGGAAAGAAATCTCTCTTTTTTAATGAAAACATTAATGTGTTAATACCCTGTATGGATAATGTTTTACATTTAGTGGTTACCAAAATATATTAGTATGTTTTTGAACATACATATGCTTAGAAATGCATGTTCTGCATACTGTGGAATGATCGTCTAATTCAATGTAAAATATGCTTTTTGGCAGTGATTTTGTTGCCAGATTTTCAATAGGGAGTTAAGTGAGGCTTGCACAATCTTAAGATTTTTAGTTAAAAATCATATCATCTAATATGTCACACATTTTTATATTTTTCAATGCATTTAATTATCTTTTAAATAATCCTTTGCACTGACTCAGCATATAACAACCAATTTACATGGAAATAAACTGAAATATGGTAACTATTATGCTTAAATGGATTTGTGTCCATTACTTCAAATTATTTACCTTCCTGTAAAGCAAATAATACATTTTGCTTTCTTAGACTGACCACAGTCTAATGTGTTGACAATTCCTGGATTAAATATTCTTTGTAATTTGTTCTTACAAAATTTAAACCTAAAATTGTAAGGTATGGTATGTCAATTTATGGAAGGCTAATAAAGTTACTATCTGCTGCAACCCTACATTTACACAATCCTTTTACACCAGATTTAAATCCTTTGTGTTCTAATTTTAATTAATATATAATTTAATTTTTAAATTTGTTTGGGTTCTTCATTTATATACTGTTGTTTATCTTTCCTGAGTTTCTAGGCTGAGTTCAATATTCTCCAGAATTTTAAGGGTTACTGCTCAAAGAACAAGAAGATAAGTCAGTCTTCTAGGTGTTGGAGGCATGGCAGTGAATAAAGCAGAAAAAACATCCCTTCCCTCATGGAACTTACATTCTAACAAGGGAAGACAAAATAAATGGGATAAACTTTAAATACCTTTTATTATAAGTTAAATGATAATATGTGCTAAGAATAAGAATAAATTAAGGAAAGAAGATGGAAAGTATGGCAGAAAAGTGGGTGTTGTGTCCTGAGATAGGGTGGCAGGAATGGTGATAACAGGAATGTCTTAGCAGACTACTATGATAAAATATCACAAACTGGTATTTATTTCTCAAAGTTTGGTAAGTTGGGAAGTCAAAGATCAAGGTGGCAACTGATTCAATTTTCTGGTGAGAGCTTCTTGTCTGGCTTGTAGTTAGTAGTAGACAGCTACTTTCTTGGTGTGTCCTTCACATGGTGGAAAGAGAGTACTCTCTGGTCTCTTCTAAAGGATCCTATAAACCTATAAGCTTAGGACTTCACCCTTATGGCCTTATTTAACCTTCATTACTTACCTATATGCTCAATCTCCACATACAATCACATTGGGGGTTAGGGCTTCAATATATGAATTTTAGGGAGACACAAGTCCATAGCAGGGAGTTATAAATTTCTTATATATTAAAAAATTCCTTTTTTATGTCTGAAAATTAGGCTTACTAGAATTTTATTTATATTTAATATAATGTGATGTTTTTGCATCAAAAACATGAAAAATAATTGTGAACTGTCTGGTTAAAGCATTTCAATGCTAGAAAGTGTAGGTTAGCATAGATATTACTAGCCATACCTGGCTACTGAGATGAGATTCTGTCCATGAAACGTGAAGTGGTCAGAATGGGTTTGCAGTATACCAATAGTTGTTCAGAAGCTGAGACATTGTATTCTGGTGATGGTTTCTAATGATTAGCCATCCTGTTTTGAAGATAGAATTGAATTAGTTAGCTTTCCCTTAACTATCATATTGTTAAAGAAAATAACAAGAGACATGCTTAATTCTACCAGTTGTCACAGGGACAGGTGCAGAACAGAGTCCTGTTGCTAACTGCAGTGAGACCTTTCCACTTTTTTGTTTGTTTCTTTGTGTTTTTTGTTTGTTTGTTTTTTTATTAAAAGGAAAGAATACTAGGTTACTACAAATTAGCTAAGTGCTCTGAAATTATGGCTTTCAGAGTGCTCATTATGTAAAAATCCTCACTCATTTTCTATTGATCCAGCAACAGGAAGGTTATCTTGGTCAAACATATTTCCTTTCTGTCCTAAATAATAAAGACCAGTCTCTCTACTAAGTATTGAAAGTATTTAGTATTT